CGTTTGCCCTTGCCCAAGAGACGGCAAGAATAATTGTTAAGCCCCAGACCCACAAGATTCGCCAACTGGAGACCGAATGTTGCGAACCCAAATCTCTCGTTAACCCGATCAAGGACGCCATGAGGCAGGTAATAGAAGAAACAAAGTTAGTAGGGATGACTAAGCCCAGGATTAGATGCTACAACTGCGATAAAGCAGGTCATATTGCGCGCGAATGCAGAGCTAAGCGCAAACGATCCAGGTCATCGTCACCACCTCCAACGAAAGATGGTAGAAGAATGGCTCAACAGTCCACCAATGAGTCACCGTTAAACTCAATCGAGCCAGTCCAGCGGGGCATGAACTGGCTCCCATCGACGATGGCCCCACAATCTCCATAGCAATAGTACAACAGAAAAGTCACAACCTAACAACAACTGGGTACATCAATGGTGATAAGCGAGTTCCGACGTTAGATACTGCCGCATCAAAGTCCATCTGGTAAAGGGAAAAATAACGCAACTTAATGGAGTCAGACTGCGCACAGCAACGGGGGAGCCCGCGGCAGTACACGGCAGTAAATCGGAGAATTACCAGTTTATAGTTGCCGATATCGTAGACGAAGTGATAATAGGCACAGATTTTATGATTGCCTTTGGTATCAATCTGGATATGAAAGAGCGTGTGATGACCTGGTCTAACGTCGAAATTCCGTTAAACGTGGGCTACGATGAAAGTACACCCATTAGACGTCTGACTACGGACCATCCAGAGATAATACCGCCCTGTGCCGAAGCAATAATATGGGTACCAATGAATGGAGATTGTGGAGCCGAGAAGTTGTGGGTGGAAAGCAACAAGGACGGATTCCTGTTAGAGTTTTGAACCTGTCAAACAAGCAAGAGCAAATTTGCCAATTTTCCGAAAAGCCAGCCGCCATGGAGAAGAAGCACCTCGACGGCTACATAAAAGAGTGGAAACACCAATTATCACCTTCCGAGAGGAACAAGGCTAGGCAGCTATTATGGAAATATGCCTCTACCTTTGCGTTGACAAAAAAACACCAAGAACATCAGTGGTGAAGCATGAAATCCATACAGCAGACGCGAGACCCATTAAACAGCCTCCAAGAAGTGTTCCCCTGGCAAAAAGAGACGAGGTCCAGAAGCTGATAAGTGAAATGGAAAAGAGTGGTGTAATAGAACCATCGTCAAGTCCATGGTGCTCCCAGTGGTCTTGGTCAAGAAGAAAGACGGAAGCACCCGATTTTGTGTGGACTACCGAAAGTTGAATGATGTCACCAAGAAAGACAGCTATCCGCTCCCAAGAATCGACGACACATTGGACACATTAGCCGGGACGTCATGGTTCTCCACCCTCGACCTGCAGAGTGGGTACTGGCAAGTAGAGATCGCCGAGAAAGATAAACTTAAAGGATGTTCTACAGCAGCTTTCGTCTTCAGGCCTCAAGTTAAACCCAAAGAAGTGCAGTCTCTTCCAACGAGAGGTGAAGTTCCTGGCGCACCACGTGACGCCGGAGGGCATATCGACGGATAAGGAGAAAATCCAAGCCGTCAGAGATTGGCCGCAGCCCCGAAATCTCCATGAGCTGCGAAGCTTTCTTGGTCTCTGCACCTACTACCGTCGATTTGTCCCAAATTTTGCCAACATCGCCGCCTGTCTACACCGCTTGACGCAAAAAGGCCAGAGGTTTCAGTGGGGCAACGACCAAGAAGAGGCATTCAGAAAGCTCAAAGACATGCTATGTAGAGCCCCCATTTTGGCATACCCTATACCTGGTGGCAAGTTTGCTCTGGACACAGACGCAAGTGCGTGCGGCATCGGTGGCGTCCTTTCCCAGGAAATCGACGGACAGGAAAAAGTCATCGGGTACTACAGCCGGACATTGTCGAAACCTGAGAGGATTTACTGTGTGACGAGGAGAGAGCTGCTTTCTGTCCTTGAGAGCGTTAAACACTACCACAAATACCTATATGGCCAGCATTTCCTGCTGAGGACCGACCACGCTGCTCTCCAATGGTTGCTACAGTTTAAGAATCCGGAAGGTCAACTAGCCCGTTGGATCGAGAGGCTCCAGAGTTATGACTTCAGAATCGAGAACAGAAAAGGCGGAAAACACGGTAATGCTGATGCCCTGTCTCGTCGCCCATGCAAGGTAGAATGCAGGCATTGCTCAAAGGCTGAGTGTAAAGAGAATATCGTTGATGTCCGACTATTGCAGTTTGAGTCGGGTGTAGATTGGTCGACGGAACAACGAGGGGATCCCATTCTGGGCAAAATAATTTCGGCCATAGAAACGGGCAAGCGACCTAGTCGCAAAGAAATTACCTCCGAAAGCCCTCTTTTAAAATCCTATTGAGCCCAGTGGGACAGTCTACTTATAATAGATGGTTGTTTATATCGCAAATGGGAAAGTGAGGACGGTAAATCTCACCGGAACTTGATCGTCCTCCCAGACTCCAAAAAAAGAGATGTCTTGTCGGAGTTTCACGATGGGCCAAGTGGAGGACATCTTGGCATAGCAAAAACCGCTGAAAAGGTAAAGCAGATATTCTACTGGGTCGGCTGTCAAAAATCCATTGCCGACTGGATCGCCAATTGTGAAAGGTGCATAAGAGCTAAAGGTCCAACACGGAAGAGTCGAGGCTACATGCAGCAGTATAATTCAGGAGCCCCTTTTGAAAGAATCGCAATGGATGTAGCTGGACCGTTCCCAATAAGTGACTCTGGTATGTCTTAGTGGTCATGGATTACTTCAGCAAATGGCCAGAGGTTTATGCTATCCCAAATCAAGAAGCCAGGACAATTGTGGATGTGTTCAGCAAAAATTGGATTTGTCGCTATGGTGTTCCATCGGAGGTTCATTCCGATCAAGGTAGGAATTTTGAATCAGCGATCTTCAAGGAAATGTGTGACTCCTACGGAATCAAGAAAACCAGAACGACGCCCCTACATCCACAATCAGATGGCATGGTGGAAAGATTCAATCGCACCCTGGAAGAACATCTACGGAAAGTGGTGGACAGTGGCCAACGAGACTGGGATGAGCATATTCCAAAGTTTTTACTTGCTTGTAGATCGGCCATTCATGAAGACAGTCAAAACTCTTTCAGTAAAGTCCACGATGCAGTTCGCCATTGAATAAAAATGGTTAGCAACCGCATGAAGGCAAGGTACAATCGAGCGGCAAATACCGATGGGTTTCAAGAAGGGCAACTGGTACTATTGTTCAATCCACAACGGAAAAAAGGACTATGCCCCAAATTGCAAACACACTGGGAAGGACGCTACAAGATTGTCACGAAAATAAATGACGTCGTTTATCGCATCCAGAGGAGCGACAGTCCCAGGTCGAAGATGAAAGTTGTACATTTGGAGCGGCTGACCCCCTACGGAACGGGAACTGTGCCTATTCGGGACGAACAGGCTTAAGCGGGGGGCAATGTTACGAATATAACTTTAGATTTAAGTTAATTTAGATGAATTCCGTTAATTTATGAATTGAATTGTAACGTAAATTTCTACTACGCAGTTTATTCGAATAACTTCACAACAACTACTGCATAGATTTTTCTACATCCTTCCATTTCCTCTTTCATTTTCTATTTTGTTATTGACGTACAATTCTTGTTAAAGGTCATCATTGATGATCGCTTAATTCCTCTTTCTTTGTTACTCCCTCGCCTGTATATGTGTTGTTGTTATTGTTCACTCAATGTAATTCCTCTTTCTTTGTTACTCCCTCGCCTGTATGTGTTGTTATTGTTCACTCAATGTAAGTTTGTATGTGTTTGTTGCATTGGTAGATTGTTCGTAATCTAGGTGTTACCAGATCGTCTAGAAACTTCTGTAGCGACAGGCAAGGCTCATATAAATAGGGGAAAGGGCAAGGCAGTTAGTCAGTTGTGTATCAGATCGCGAATTGAAATCGTCAATTAAAGTAAAGTGCAAAGTAAAGTTGTGTCAATAAAATCATTGTAATATTCGTAATCAGAAAGAACCCGCGTTTTATTTAGTACGAACTGTATTGGGAAATAGAACAACGTCTACACGGGATTAAGTAAAATCCAAGAACGTAACAATATGCATAGAATCACTTTCTGAGTCGATTTATGCATGTCTGTCCGTCCATCAAAATGAAATTTCGGTGCCGGTTCCTTAATGGTCTTCGGAGAATTTTATAGCGACGGAATGCCTGATTTGGCATTTCCTAGTTGCCAGATGAATTCAATGGAATACGTTCAAATCTTTGAAGACAAATTATTGCCATTTTGGGAAAGCAGCAACGATGAAGGACTCGTTTTTCAGCAGGACAACGCGCCATTTCATAAAAGTCGCCATACTTTAGAATGGTTAAAATAAAAAAATATTTAAAGTATGAACTGGTCCGCATGTTCTTCCGACCAGAATGTGATCGAGAACATTGGGGGAATCTTAACTCGTTGTGTCTATGCAGAAAACCGCCAATACCAGATTGTTTTTAACCTCAAAGAAGTAATAATCGATAAATGAGAGTATGATGGATAGAATTTTTGATCTTATTGAAAATAAGGGAGGCCCCACCCATTATTGATTAATGTTATGTTATTTTATTTAAGGTTTTAATAATAATTATATATAATTTTGTAAATGTTATACAACATCAATAAATTTAAGATAGCAGAATTAGGCGAAACCACACTTAGACGACTAATCAGAGTAGAAAGGTCCGTAACAAAACATGCTAAGTCGACTTAGCCGACTTCTTACGAAATGTTTGTCCATGCTAATGTATTCTATGTCGTTTTTAGCTATAATCTGCTAGAAAATGTTAAATTTACCAAAGTTATAAACCAGTAAAACACTCAATGTTCTATCTCACACCACTCTGAAAAACTCACTTTTCAGACTTAGCATACTATTTTTCGGAGGCGTCAATATAATTAATTATAATCTACAAATTGAACATACCTATAATATCCGCAAGATCTCCTTCATTGTTTGTATATTTATTTCTTTCCTTTCGAATAACACCATCATTCTGAACAACTTCATGCTTATTAATAATATCGTTAGCGTTATTAAAATCAACATCAACCGCAGCCAGGGCGCTCGCTAGTGGTGAAGTATTATATTTTGTTTGTTTTGTTGACATTATATTGCGCCTTATTCGACATTCTTCAGACAGGAGTAAAGTAACTCTTAGTAGGTTTCCATTTCCTTCTCCGACAGCGATTACACGAGGGTGATGTGAGGCAAGCATTGGGGCAAATGCCACAACTTCTGTATCTAAGCTTTCAACTAATAGGAAGTAATCTTCTACAGATATATCCCTATAATTTATCGAAATTATTCACATTGCTTTATGAAAGTTATATTCATTACTAACCTTAGAGGAGTACGAGACCCATCTGAGAACTCTAGGTCAATATCCAGAAGACCTTCCTGATACTGTGCTGTCAATTTATGAGTAACTGCAGTTTCAGCAATATATCCATTTTCAATAGTATTATCTGGTGTTATAGTTAACTGTAGTCCTGATACAACTCGGACAGAAAGTTTTATAAGGCTTACTTTATCGCTTCCAACGCGAATCTCTTTTGTTCCAATTACGCGTCCTGTTATTGGTGATAATACCTGAAACCAGAATTTAATTTATTCAAATATTGTGAACACTTTATTAGACTTTAATGTTTACCTGTACATCAGTACGACCCATAGACTTTCCTTGTAGTATTCTACCCTTTAGACTTGCTATTTTGGGGTCAGCTACCCGCAACAAGGGCTGTACTAAATCAGTAACTCGCAAACCTGTCCGACGCGATATAAAATAGCTTATGCGACCAGAATTCTAAAAATGGAAGACAAATTAAAATAAATATTATTTTGGTTATAATCTGTAAAACATAATGAACGGAGAGATCAAACTAGACTATATCCAAATAAAGCCTTTAATTATTTCAAGATATTGTAAATGTTTGACCAGTTTTTATCATTATAAGAATGTTAGTTTCTATTTACAAGAGTGCACAAGTTGAACAAAAAAGTCATTCCCGAATTACACATTGGAATTGAATCAAATCGCAATGTTATGGCTCAATTTTAATGGTTGGGTTATAAAAAATATATCAACTAATGCTTTACAGTTAATTTAAACCCCTGGTTCTGTTTGCATTGTTTCCTACAGCGCTTTGAGTTCAGCTGTGGAACAGTTTATAGGATCTTTATACACACTTACTAGCAGCATACCAAAGTAAATAAATACGACCGACCTCGAATTCGGATAAACGAACGGCGGTTTATCGGTTAATTGAAACTAAAAATTTTAAACTAGTATTTCGGATAAATTTTCAAACACTTTACTTCGCTTAAAAGAAAATCCGGTTAATTTAAAATCAGTATAAGAGAAATACTTTTTTGTTCCAAAAACACAAATATACATGAAACGAACAGCGTTTAAGAGAAAAATATAATTTTTGTAAGGGCGACGAAATCATTAACTACGAAAAAAAAGAAGTTCTTACTCAATTCATTTTATAATATGATTTATAAATTTCGCGATTTTTCAGATATTGATTGAAAACTTCGTTAAGCGCAACAAGTTTTGCTTATCAGATCTTTTAATGAAAATCCTGCTTAAGAGAAAAAAAAACTTCTGAAATTAGGCTTAACCGAATTCGACTGTATACGCAACAAGTAGTTGTGTTTATTTAACATTTTTTCAGCACATAACTAAAAACGCGAAAAAGAAATGAAAGTTTATTTCTTTCCAAAATCCAGTAGGGAATACCACGAAATATTTGTTTGGGTGGCGTAGGGGATGATAGATACCAAGCAACGGCTCTGATTGGCTTTAACATGGCGAAGTCCAGGCTTATCTTGGTCCCTCTTTCATTTCAATTGTGGACACTGACCTATGTGGGAGCTATTTTCATCACCCCATGAAATAGTGAGCTAATATGTGCCGCGAGTTCACACATAAGAACTATAAAAAATGGGTTGAGGCGTCGGGTTAGTTGCCCACTGTCGGAAAACCCAACCTACTATGAAAAAATTAAGAAAAATAAAACCAAACCCCCCTAATGTTGACGACCCCCGCAAACGTATAAAGGACCACGATCTGCGAATCTGCACTTGGAATGTGCGCACGTTGTACAGAACAGGCGCAGTGTTCGCGTTGGCGGATGTACTCAAGAAGTACAAAGCCGACATTATTGCCTTACAGGAAATGCGATGGAAAGGGACAGGTGTAAGTAAATCAGACGATTACGCCCTGTATTATAGCTGCCGTGAAACGAGACATGAATTTGGCTGCGGATTTATGGTTAACAGGAGAATAAAAGACCTCGTCTCCAGATTCACTCCAGTAGATGAGTGAATTGCTATAATCCGTATAAAAGCGAAGTTCTTCTACATCAGTCTCATTTGCGCCCATGCTCCGACCGAAGATAAAGATGAACAGACCAAAGACATATTTTGCGAGAGCCTAGAAACAGCATATGGCCCTGGCCATGACTTTAAAATTCTGCTAGGAGATTTTAATGCAAAAATCGGAAGGGAAATATCTTTGGCCCCACCGTCGGAAAATTTAGCATTCATGAAGAAACATCCGACAACGGCATGAAATTGATTGACTTCGCGGCAGCAGAAACATGATAGTTAGCAGCACCAGATCCAAGCATCTCGATATACACAAGGCCACCTGGATCTCTCCTGATCAAGCAACGAGAAATCAAATTGATCATGTTGTGATAGGACCATTACCTTGTGGCAGCCAAGATACGCATCCGTCTTAATGTATCAGCAAAGGTGCGATCTAACACAACATGGAAACTCGACGTCGAAAAGCTACAAACACAACAGGTAGCCGAGGCCTACTCCGCTCTTCTTACCCATCTGCTTAAAGAAAGCACTTATTTTCCCGATAATAGTATAGAAGCACAATGGCAAAGAATTGCCCACTCCCTACAAACTGCAGCAAAAGCAACACTTGGGTACCAAAAACCACCACCAAGAAACCAATGGTACGATCAGGAGTGTCGTAATGCTACTGATGTAAAAAAGCGTAGCGTATAGGGCAACCCTGCAGACAGTAGCAACACGTAACGTGATGGAGAATTATCGGTAGAAAACGAGAATTTGGCTAGATGAATGCATGCTCAATGATTGGAACCTCAGCATCCTGTGTCCCGTGCACATAAAATAAGACAAGACGATGTGTGCCAACGATAGAGGAATAAGTCTCCTTCACATCGCATATAAAGTGCTATCCAGTGTGCTGCGTGAACGATTGAAGCCAATGGTTAATGACATCATCGGATTCTTATGTGGCTTCAGACCTGGCAAATCCACCATTGACCAGATTTTCACTCTGCGCCAAATCCTGGAGAATACCCACGAAAAACACATCGACACATACCACCTATTTGTCGACTATAATGCCGCATTTGACAGCCCTATTCGTTCAGAGGTGTTTAAAGCCATGTCTACGTTCGGCATTTCTGCAAAAATAATACGGCTATGCAGGATAATTTTAAGTGGCACAAGATCAGCAGTTAAAGTAGGAAAGGACCTATCGGAGCTCTTTAATACCGAGCGAGGATTCAGACAAGGTGACAGTTTGTCGTGTGATCTTTTTAACATTCTGCTGAAAAAGGTCATACGAGACGCAAAAGTGAACAGAACAGAACTCTGTACACTAAACAACACATGTTACTCGCCTACGCCGATGACATCGATATAATGGGTCGAACATTGCGAACGGTAACAGCCACCTTTGAACAAATTGAAAAGGAGTCAGCCAAAGTGGGTCTGGCAGTAAACGGCGAGAAGACCAAGCTGATGGTATCAACGCGCAAGGCGTCCAGTAGACTCGGACCAACTGTGGAACTTGAGAACTACAGCTTCGAGGTAGTTAAAGACTTTATATACCTTGGTACCGCCATAAATAAAACGAATGACATCAGTTTTGAAATTCTGAGAAGGATTGTGATGGCAAACATATGCTACTATGGTCTAAGTAAGCAGTTTAGAAACAAGGCCACCTCCCGCCAGACCAAACTCACACTTTACAAGACGCTGATACTACCCGTGCTATTATATGGATTAGAAGCATGGGTACTTGCGCAAGCAGATGAGGCAGATCTTGGGGTGTTTGAAAGAAAAATTCTCCGGAAGATCTACGGGCCGATCTGCGTCGAATGAAGCACGAGCTTTACAATTTATACGCGGACATCGACATAGTCAGTCGTATTGAGCTGCAGCGACTACGGTGGCTAGGCCATGTTGTGCGGATGAATGAGAATGCCCCAGCTCAAAGGGCATATAAAAACGAGCCTACTGATGGTTCCCGTAGAAGGGGAAGGCCACGAATTAAATGGAAAGACCAAGTAGAAAACAACATCTTGGAACGCACAGTGGAAAAAAATGCAATGCAAGTAGATGTTTTACTGCATGTTTATCGATATTTTGGATAAGAATAGATGTATATGGACAATTTTAATTATTTTATGAAAAATTTTGGCACTTTTTTAATATTAACCCACTAAGCGCCGATTTTTTTTAGAAAAAAACTTAAATTTTTAGGTGAAAATTACTATTTTGAAGCTTTTTAAACATTTTTAATAAGCAACATTTTTCGTTATAACTAATATTACTCATAAAATGGGAGCTTCTTTTAAAAATTCCGATACATTTGGAGGGTAAAAAGTGGTTTAAGGGCAAACACTATTGTTATTATATGTATCTTTATAATTCTTAATATAATATATCTAAAGCATTAAACTATATATATTTTATAAAATTTAGGCGTTACTTATTAAATACTAATCACATTCAGAATCCGAGTTTTGATCTGTATTAGTTGGTAGCATTGGATCCTCCAGTAGTTTAAGGACTTCTTCAAATAGTGGCTCACTATATCGATGGTTAAGAGATGTACTACCAGACAAACTTGACATTTTTGGATCAGAAGAAAATAGCAACCTATTGAAAAGATCCCTCATTGTTTCCTCACGACGAATTTTTCTGGTGTTCCCTGTAGTTCCGAAATTCCTTATTTCTGGATTCTATGGCTTCCTCAGACAACATTCCTATGGACAAAGCCGCACATTTAATTATATCAGCTCCATTCACTAATATTTGTGTATGCTTGAAGGCATATAGAACCAAGGATATAATTCCACGAAAAGAATAAATGTTTCCTCAGTAAGTTTTTTAAATGACTCTGCGATAATAGCATATCCACAGAACATGGTTGAAAGGATGATACTAAAATTTTTAATTAATTTTTCATCAACACCAGTTATCGACGATGCTAAGCCAGGTTGGCTAAAAAAACTCCTAGCAGTATTGCCATCGTTTGTTGTTCCGGATACTGACTTAGATGTGTCAACAATAATGTGCATTTCTTCCTTCAAATCATTAATGATACGTGCCTTCCTTTCTTCGAAAAGTGGCCGATCGGAGCTATAAATTTTCCACTTTTTCAAAACCAGTCGGTATGAAATGTGCAATATACATTATAAACATCGAATACTTGCATGTAAGGTAGACAGGCCGTATTCGAATAAATTGATGTTTGATGTTAATTACGAAATTTTGGTGTAATCATTCATTACTTTTGGTGTTGCACCGCA